AACAAGTAAAGGTGCACTGTCGAAAGTAAACGTTACTTTATTTACGAAGATTTAATTGTTTTATTACTGCATAAACATACCTCTACCGATATATATGACGAAGAGGGCTCTCGCTTGACATCGCCCATACCATCCTCCGACATGTATCAAACTATCAAATGAACAACACTACCTATCTCGTTAGATAGTTTCGCAGAAAGGCAACTAAAAATATATTAGATATATTTATGTAATGGAATCGTAAAGTTCGTTATAATCTGGCAATCTGACGTCTGTTAGGACGACCGTCTTCAATAAAAAGGTAATTTGTGAAAATAAACCTGTACTTGTCGTTCTTTTTATCTTATCACGGATAAACTATATTTACTCGTGACTCTGCTTGTGTAATTTAATAAATTACTCGTGAGAAAATTCTGTTATAAATTTAAATTAATAGTTTTGTGTCACACAACGTCTTATCTATGTTAATCGAAACTTACGAAGTGCCATAAAGTACCTCAGCCTTCATATTACTAGCAAAATAACTTTGAAATACGGCCGACAAAAATAAGTTATAAAAAGCAAGCGCATAAATACGCGATAAATATTTACAAATATAAGAACCTGCGAGCGGTGAGTACCTTTACCGCAAATAAATATAAAGATAGCTAAAACTTGAAATTGCTACATATTTCAGTGACCAAAATGGCAAATTTATGTGGCTATCGGCATAAAATTCGTGCCTTGTACATTTTTCTAGCTTCGAATGGCATTTTCGTTTATGTGTTATGTTCTGCGTCCTCTGTGCCCTCTCGCGTCCTCCCGCGGGTTACAAAACTTACGGTCACGTATAGGGAATGTATTTTTACTATTCGCTTTGTGACCTCTCCAGCATTCGAGCCTTTCTCGGTAAATTGGAAAAATCTTTTTGGGTTTGTATTCAGAGAAAAGTTTTGTGTAAACACTTATGCGTATCGCGGCTCCCGCACTAGTATAAATGAAACCTTTTTACTTATTCAGTGTACATTCTTTCAATATATATAAGCAGAGTGTGTGAGCTGTAAAACGATTTTAATAATTTCGCAGATATCATGGTGAAGTTTACATTTCTTTGACGTATTTATTTACTTATTTTTAGTTTTTTAATGATTTGTTTTGCTTACATAGTTCTTACAAGATGTTTTTTTAATGTTTACATGTAATTTGTTCTAAAAATAAACATAAACGAGAAAATTAAAATATTTTTCATGATAGATATTTGCCCACACACGGTTATTCCATTACTAATGAAAATAAAAAGCTTTTTATAAAATAAATACAACTTATTCAATTTTAAGTTGTAAATATCGTGTCATCTCTGTCCTTACAAATAATTGTAGTGATTTTTTTTAAGGGGGAAAATCATCGAATGTC